ATGGAAGTCATCTTTATTTCTGGTATTATGTAAATGATGGTCGACATTTGATGATGTTAAATTAGTTAGACTTGATGGAAATATATTATTTTTTACTTTATAAATGAATATCATTACAAGATATTTGATAAAATTTTTTACATTGAGCCATTTTAATTTGCTAAGCATTTGCCTAATTGGAGTATATTTATCTTTATTTAGTATTATTCTCATGCACTTATTTTGTAAAATTTGCAGTCTTTCAAAAATGGAATTATTTGCTAAATATAGAATAGTCGAACAGTACAAGAAATTTGGAAGAATGATGGTATTATAGATAATTTTTCTGCTATATGAACTCAGACATCCAGAAACTCTCGATAAATATCCCACTTTACTACTAATCTTATTTATAACTTTTTCATAATGAATATCAAAAATTAATCGAGAGTCAACAAAAACTCCCAGGTATTTAAAATTTTCTACGAATTCAATATCTTCACCATCAATATTCAGTTGAACATTTGTACATTGTTTTTTTCCGATTAACAAGGCTTTCGTTTTACTTGCATTTAATTTTAGTCTGTTAGATGCTAACCATTTTGAGACAAGCTTCAGGTCTTCATTTATATAAGAGATACCAGACTGAATATTTTTAGTACTTATATAAATCATAGTGTCATCGGCGAAAATTTGAATTTTGCATTTTTTGACTATGGCAGGTAAATCATTTATGTATAAAATAAAAAGAAGTGGTCCCAGGATACTGCCCTGTGGAACACCCAACGTATTTTCAATTTTTGATGAAATAGTGTCATTAACTTTTGTAACTTGCATCCTTTTAGACAAATAATTTCCAAACCAATCTAAAACACTTCCTGTTATACCATATGCCTTCAATTTACCTAACAAAATATCTCTATCAATCGTTTCAAATGCCCTCTTCAAATCCAAAAATACTGCTATGACAACTTCTTCTGAGTCTATGGCTCTTCTCCAATTCTCAGTTACCAACTGGAAAGCTGTTTCTGTGGAATATTTTTTTCGAAAGCCTGCTTGCGCCTCCACTAAAATTTTGTTTTCTTCTATAAACTGCATTAATTGGTCATGCACTATGGACTCTAATAATTTTTCAATGTCTGGTAACACATTTACTGGTCTCATATCGCTGCATCTTTTAGAATTTTTTATCTTGGGAACTGGTGTTATTGTAGAGCATTTCAAATTTTCAGGAAAAGAACTGCTTCTCAGTGAACAATTGATCCAATTTAATACAGGATATCCCAAAATTTCGAAACAGTTTTTCAGCACGTTTTTAGTAATCATTTCGGCACAGTTGTTATTTGATTTTAAACTGTTTACTTTTTTTCTTAGATAATTCAATGATACGCTGTGAAATTTTGAAAGTGTATGCAACATTTCCCCCTGGAAACTGATTTTCATATAGTCAGGTGCAGCATTGGCAGTACCTACAATATCAACAATACTTTCCACAAAATATTCATTTAGTTTGTTTGCAATCACCAAAGAATTTGTTTCGGTACCGTTTTCGAATTGAACTTGATTTACACAATCATGCGGCTTCGAATTGATCAGTCTTTTTAAAGTCTTCCACATCTTTACACTGTCGCACTTGTTATTATCGATTTGTTTATCGTAGAATTTTCTTTTTTCTTCTCTAATTACATATACACATTTATTCCTAAGAGTTTTATATACCTCCCAATCATCATTTGATTTTGTGAATATACATTTATTGTATTGTTTGTCTCTCAAATTTTGAGCTACCTTAATATTCTTGTTATACCAGGGTGTATTTTTTGTCGAGCAAATCAGTTTTTTATCAGTTGCAAGATCTAAACAAGTTTTTATATTTCCTATTATGTTGTCATATATTTTTTCCATATTCTCACCAAAATTCCAATAGCAGCCAGCAAGTTCTCGTTCAAGTTTTTCGTACTTAATAGTATTTACGATTTTCTTAATTTTTGTATCATAAAAATGCCCTACCAAGGGCAGCATTGTCCAACTGTGATCGCTAACTTTAGGTGTATGTACAGCTTTAATCCCTGCACATTCGAAATTTACAATAACAAGATCTAACAAAGTCTCTGATAATGATGTTATTCTGGTACTCTCTTCAATTTTTTGCTTGAACCCATAGTTATTTATGGTTTCTTTCAATTTTCTTGTTTTCATGCTTTTACCATAATAATTTAAATTAAAATCACCTAAAAGTATTATATTGTTTCTAAAATTCCACATTTCTTCGCATTTTTCTTCAAAAAACGTTAAAAATGTATCTGCATCACTGTTTGGTGAACGGTAAAAAGTACAAAGATCATAACGTTTCCCAAATAATTTGAACTGTATATGTGCATACCAGTATGCATAGTCTAAAGTGGTACAATCGAATAATGTGATATGTATTTTGTGGTAAACATAAATCACTACACCTCCAGTATGTCTGGAGTTGGAGTTGCATCTGTAGGTTTTATAATTAGTAATTTGTAATTCACCATCAGTGATGTCTTCTGTAGCATGTGTTTCGGTAAGACATAATACAAGTGGTTTTCTCCATCTTAAAAACTGTTGAACTTCATCTATATTATTCAGGACTCCTTGTATGTTTAAATGGTATATTGAGTTATATTCATCACTTATAGATTTAGCCACGTCTTGCAAATCTGAGCTTAGTAGTTGCTATTCATTTGCATAATTAATTTTTTCCCTCTCACGTTCAATTTTCCTTTTATATACTTCACAATTTTTGTCAAATGGTCCATGATTAATAGGTAATCCTAGATTAAAATCTTTGTTTGCACTTTTACAATTTGGACAGCATTTGTACATTTCACTGGTACTACAGTTTTCTGTTGAATGTCCTTCTAATCCACAAGTAAGACATCTTCCTGATTTTGTGCAGTATTTAGCTGTGTGGTTAAATCCGGTACATTTATAGCATCGCAAAACATTGATGTACTCGAAAACAGAGCAAACAGACATGTCGATAAAAATAACACCCTGATTCATAACACACTTAAAAGTCACAGCATCCACTTCTAAAATTGCTTGATATTTAGTTTTCATTTTCTTGACTGTAATTACTCTCATATGTGAATTTTCTTGAAAAGATTCATTTTGTGATTTTATAGTATTTATTAGCTCGTCTTCTGCATATTCTTGACAAAATCCAATAACTTTGATTTGTGGTTTTTTACTTATCTCTGAAGTTTTCACTGTATATGTTTCTGGCATTTTTGATTTTATTTCATTATGTAGCTTCGCGTTATCATCTTTTGTTTTACATTGGATTTTCACCCCACCATCTTTCAATTCATAAACTTTTTCAATAGCAATTTTCAAACTGGTAGGATTCACAAATTTTGCGATGTCTTTCTTTGTGTTATTACACTCTTGTTGGTTATTAGGCTTAACAATGACTGTATTTGTGGGTTTTAATACTGGTGATTGTTTTTTTGCTGTACATGTTTGTAATGGTACGCATTGTTGCTTATATTCTACCATTTGTGTAGGCGAATTAACGGTTGAAGGCCCTGAAGCTTTAACCATATTAGCGTAAGTTGTAATTGCTTCTTGTGACGGCTGTTGCATTTTCCCAATTTTTTTGTTTAATTGGTCTATCTTTTCGTACAATTCTTTTATTAATTTCTCTTGAATCGAAATGGTATAATCTTTTAGTTTCAAAACTTCCTCTGTACAAAATCCCTTTTCACTCAGTGAGACCACACTCTCCACTTCCTCACTAGCTCCATCCTTTTTAGAGTTTTCCTCCATATTCACACTAAAAATTCAGGAATCTCCTAAAAACCTTCTTTAGCTTGACCTAATTTTTGACATTAGAAGTCAAAAAAGTATTTCCAGAATTAATTTTGTGCAATCTCTTCCGTGTGGGATCTGCAGCTGCAAACAGGTGTGGCGATATATATTTCGTTAATCTTCCCGGTGATCCTTGGTTGATATTTTTATGTGTGGTCTTTACCAATATTTCGTGTCTGTGTTGGAGCGAATAAAAAGAGCAAGTGTAGTAGTTAATATAGCAAACTTCAGCTTCAAATTTTTGGCAATGTCGACTTGACGTTGTATAACTCAAAGATCTTAGTTTTCACATCGAAAGAAATTTCTGGACTATGGGGCATGGTCTTAAAATCACTCAACTTATTCCACAATACTTGATGATTACAAAACTAATCCTCTTCTGACACGAAACTGTACTAAACTAACGTTGAAAAGAATTTGTCTACATATTTTTGTCCCTCATAAAAAAGTGCTTATATTCAGACTTATACTGTGTTCATTGCAGATAATGTAAAAACAAGGAATTTAGTTTTTCTACTTATAACGCATTTGTTTATGGAGCAATGAAGTATGAATTCGTTTTCTAAAGGTATTTAGGTTAATATTCATATGTGTCTATATACCTTTGTTCATTACTGTATTTCGTTACAATACTTTAACATACTTGGTATGCCACGTCTAATCTTCCGAATTCCTGTTTAGGTTGGTGGTTTCCGTTTTAAATTAATGGTTGATTTGGCAAACCCTAACGGGAAACATTTTGAACACTTACTGAAGTGAAAGGCGATATTTTCGCGTGTTTTTGTTTTCGATCTGAACAAATTAAGATAAATAAAGATTTTTCTAATTTCCTCAAAAACGAATTGACTGATATATAAAAAAATTAAACGCCAAAATAGAGAACTTCAAAAGACCTTTCAAACAAGCTATTACTCGATACCCCTTGTCATTTAAAATTTTTAAAAGAATGACCCTGGACGGCTGAGGGTGAAATGGAGTGAAGTAGTTTTTGGTTGAAAAGTTGTCCCCCTTGACAAATCTGTTGACGTGTCTCGGCGTTTTATTTCTTTTAATCAGCGGTTTTTGATAAATTCGTGGTGGGTATATAAATACGTGGGAAGTACTGGTCATTCACTTGACGCTATCGCTTTAAGAAGTATGTTTTTGAACAGACTTTATTAAATTAAAAAAAGTAGCCCACAGTCCTACAGTCGGACTCGAACCGAGGCCAGCTGCGCAATAGGAAGACACCTTACCCATTACACCATCTCGGGGCTGTGTAAAAGTTTCCGGAATGTATATATTGAGCATACCAGACAAAATGTTCCTATTCATCTGCATTTCTCTCTAAAGTGCCTCTGCTTTCAAACTAACAAATATCAGTTACATATTGTATTATTTACAGCCAACAAATAGGCTTTATAATATGACCTGGATCTGGTAACTCTGGGTGCTCGTCGTATGAAATCTGAAAGAAATTTTCCTTACTTGATAAACCTATCCTATTTCAGTTGTACCTATTCACGAAGCATCAGTATGTAGAACGAAAAACAGTTGCATCAATCCTGAAGATACCGTCAGAAGAGTTAAAGGAGATCTTCACGGGAATCTCCAAATTACGACGGCACAACAAGGAGTGGGAGTTGCAACTTCCAACCGATTTTGAGTTTATAAACAAACACAGTGAGCTGGCGAATAATCAGAACGCTTATTGGGGCCAACGTTTCCAGCAGTTAAGCGAATTTTTTAAGGACAATAAGGCACAGAGGCGGAAAAGTCGTAGCGAAAGCAAGAGTGTCAGTGAGGACTGCAAAGGCAGGAATAGTGTCTATTTCAGTTCTGATAATGAATCAGGGACAGAGAAAAGTAAATCCCCTGTTGCTGGTAGGAAGAATAAAAGTGCCAAAGTTAATGGTGACAATGTGAAAGAGGGAGTTTCTTGATAATCATTTGACATGTTGTATTTATTATTGTTGCGTTATGTGATCTAATTTTTATATATTGTTATCGCGGTCTGATTTGAATGTTATGAATGCTTCGCAGGTCGAGTTAAACATTGTATTTCATGTTAACTCTGACCAACTATTTTAGTACAGATTATTTTCATTTTCTGAAGTAGTATTGTACAATAATTATCCCAATCTAATTTTGTATAAAAACATGTATACATGCAAATAAATATTACAATAAGATGGTTTCATTATTTCTGTATTTAACTTATGTTTTTTCGATCTCAGAGGGTTTGTAAGAAGTGTTTCGAGTTGTTAAAAGTGGGCCAGGGAGTGGAATTAAGAGTGAAAATACATTGGTGCTTTTGGGCAGTCACAAATACCGCACACGTGAATGTTATGGTACGATTCCACCAAAATAGTGTTCAGCACATTTGTTTACAAACATTTTGTGTGAAACTTCAGCATTGAATGTGCTCACTGGTATCGAATTTATTTTCTGTGTCCACCGGCAAAGCAGTGCATAACTTTTGTAAGCGTACAGTGTAGCACACTTGTGCACGAACATGTTTATCAAGCAAAGTTCTCACTAACTTCAGTTCTTAATATGGATGGGCGGGAATACGTAGTGTTTTGTGCTGCAGCTTGTGTTTTAATAGGTAGTCTGCTTAAAAAGAAACGAAGAAGCAAACCACGATGTTGGGTGAGGCCTTTTCTGCAGCGATGGAATGAAGAAACGAATAGATTTGTAGAAGAAATAAAAGTAGATCCCTTAAGTGGATTTAAAAATTTTACTCGTATATCGTGTGAAGATTTTGAGTTGCTGGTCAATGCACTTAGTTGTCATATTGCAAAGCAAGACACCAAGTACAGAAAATGTGTCCCTGTTTCAATAAGGCTTATTTATAGCTTTTATTGCCCAACAGATAATATTCCATTTATAGGCCAAAATCTTAAATTAGAAATATTACAAAAGCCTAACTTATAAAAATATGTCACAAAACTTACAAATACTATTATAATTCAAACACATAACCCTTTCAGGTGATTTCAAAATCAAATTTGTGTTAGCACGACTGCAAAAGAAAGTAGCATTACATCTTGCAACGGATCTTGGCGTTAAAAACTGTAGTTGTGATAACAATATAAAATAACAAATAATAAATCTGAAAAAACTTAGGCTGCCCGTCCAGTGGACGCGTTTTCGCGCGAAGAGGCGAAATGGCGCGCATTCGCGCCTTGTTTCAAACGTGTCGATTTACATGGGAACCCGTCCACTGGAAGCGCCACTTTCGCGAGAAGTGGGGCGAAGGCGAACGCGAACAAACCAGTTTGATTCTGAACGCGCGTAGAGGCGAAGTGGGCAACGATGGACGTTGAAAAATTGATAGTTTTGGTGCAAGATAGACCATCCCTGTGGAACCAGAAGATGCCGCAATACCACATGCGGAATGTGCATATCAAGTTGTGGGAGGAGATCGCAGTGGAAATGAAGATGCCAGGTATACTTTATCTGAAGTCACTTGAAATAGCATAAAAACCTTTGGTGGCGCGTCCGTTGTAATTTCATGACGTATCATAGGCGTGCGGTCATTATTTATTTAGAATGATAATAATAATGATTTTATATCACAATAAATGGATTTTACTATCTTCTTATTTAAATATAACGCACCCGGTATTTCACGGTGTTTCAAGTGACTTCAAGTGAAGTATAATAATAATCAAAGTCCTATTAATTTTCAACTTAATTTTGTTTTTTCGACTTTTTTATTATTTTAAAAGGCTATTGAGTACAAACATATAATATTTCTTTCTCGTTACACATTAGGTCACAAAATTTTTTGGTACCTACCTACCTAATTAGTCGTTTCTATATCACCTTGCCGGGAGAAGAACATTTTGAATGTTTCCCTTACTTGCATTGAGGAATGTGAGCCACGGTTGGTTGCCCTTCCAGGAAACGACGAATGAGAGGTGTTCCAGTGAAGTGACAGAGGAGAGGTTCCCGGAATCATATCCCTGGGACCTTCTTTATTGATGACAATGTTGTGCAGTAGGCAAATACATTTCACAATGTGTTCAGCTCTCTCGGGCTTGACCTCAATAGCCTTGAGTAGAATACGCCATTTATGAGAAATTATACCGAAAGCACACTCGACAACTTGCCTTGCACCTGACAAACGTTTGTTATAGTTCTCTTGCTCAGTGGGTAAGGACGCAGTAAATACGTCTTCAATGGAAATCCTCCATCCCCGATAACTACATGTGGTGCTTCTATGTCAGTACCAGGTAGTATCTTCAAAGTGTTCGTTTTAAGAGCACCTCTTTCTAGGGCTCGAGCCAATTGTGAGTGCCCAAAAACTCCGCTGTCACTTTGTTTTCCGTAAGCTCCGACATCAATGCAGATGAATTTATAATTCGCATCGACCACTCCTTGCAATATAATTGAGAAGAACTTTTTGTGATTGTAATACATACTTCCTGAATGAGCTGGACTGTTAATTCGAATGTGTTTCCCGTCTATGCAACCAACGCATTTGGGAAATTTCCACTTTTCCCAAAACTCAGAGACGATGTCAACTTGATTGTCAGATGGAAAGGGCATGTGTTCATCATGCAAGCTATCCCAAATCACTTGACAAGTTTCATGTACGATGCGTCCGATGGTCACTTCGGAGATCCGAAACGAATAGCTTAATGAGATGAAAGACGAACCGGTAGCTAGGTACCTGTAAAAAGAAACATAAAAAAATACACCACAATATTTTAACGTTTTATTTTTTTGCGATATTTTCTGTTGTAGTAAATGATGTCAAGAAGAAGTGGAAAGGGCTGAGAGATACGTTCAGGAAGGAGTTGAAAAAGGTTTTGGAAGAAAAATCAGGGAAAGGCGCCGACTTATCGAAACTTTGGCCTTATTTCACGCAAATGGAATTCTTATCCGACACCATGATGCCAAAGGATACACAAACAAGCATCCCAGAGTCACAGGAGTTTGACGGTATCTCTTTATCTGAGAGTTCTGTAAATGAACCTGATGAAAACAGTGACCAAGTATCACAAGATGAAACAATTGAAGTAATTGAACCCACGAAAAGAACGGAATTCAAAAGCCCATTGAAACGCAACCGAAAAAAACAAAAGAGAGATGAAATGGATGACAAATTTTTGGATATTGAGAGGCAAAAGTTTTCATTATTTTCAAAGGCTGCTGACGAAACATAAACTACAAGCCCGAGTGGAGATGATGAATGTGCTCGTGAAATACACCACTCCTCAGTGTTCACCCCTATCATCACAGCACATGACTTCGTCCCTGGCCTCGCCGCCTTCTTCTCTGCATAGCGAATCTTCTTCAAACCTTCAAGAATTTTACAGTACTTTCAATCCTGCCGGAGCGCATCCACCAACTTTTCATCAATTTCAGTAGCAAGCGGCAAATGAATAGCGTTTTTTAATGAAATAAAAAATATGTTGAGTACTTACTTCATTTCCTTAAAAAAAAAAACTACCTACAAAATAATATATACCTACTTCCATTGAAATAACACCTTTAACTGTTACCAAATACAACAATTTGATGCATAATAATACGAGTATCATCACCGAACTTACCTCAACGTGACAGCAAGGCGTTCTGCTGGAGAAACTGTGTCTCTGAAGTTGGACGATCGTTCAATTCGGTCCTTAATCTTTGAATGTATATATTCAAAGGTGCTTTTTTTCATCCTGAAGTAGTTGAAAAAACCTTCGGACGACAGATCCTTCTGCAGGTGGAACCACTCTCCACATTCTCGATGAACAAACACGTTCTTCACCCATTCCTGCCTCATGTTCCGACTCATCTTTCTTCTTCTTCTCATTAGAACGAATGAATCCAATGCATATAATAGCAAAAATTCTGAGAGCGGCATTCTGCGTTCGTACACGGAGATGAGAGGTGACTGAGTTCGCGTCTTCGCGAGCGCGGCAGATCGCTTGCAATGGACGGGGTTCCCTCGCGCGAAGACGTGATGAAGCAAAAACTTGTGATTTCGCCGTTCGCCTCTTCGCGCGAAAACGCGTCCACTGGACGGGCAGCCTTAAGGTTTTGAATTCGCTATTTTCTTATTTTCTCTTCGGTACCGAGCCAAAATAATCTTCCATTTTCTCAGTCGAGTCACAATTAAAACTTTGAGCCAACTCTTGAGTGGCGTCGTGTTTTTTGTTTCTGTTTCAATTGCTTGAATAAATTTTATAATCCTATCATTCGTCCAGTCCATTTTCAATTTCGTAAAAGAAGTGCGCGTACAAACAAATGTTTTCACTCCAGGAGCGGGAGC